CGACTACGATGCCGGCAGACAATGGACCCCGGACTAGGTGCGTTTCAATAATTCTTCCTACCAATATGACCATGTTGCGAAAACAAGGTCAAACAACAAATGGGCAAAGTTTATATGCTTGAAACTCAAGAAATTAATCGTCAGGTTATCAAACACAGTGAAACAATCATATGCATTTTCTCATAGGATCAAATTCACGGTACTGGAAGAAAGAGAATAATGAGATGTATTCACCATATTTCGTTAGGGTGAAAGAGGAATGGAAGGTGAATTTTCCCACAATGATATGAGTAGAGCTGACTTTTCCATTGAACTTTACATAGCCTTACTTTACCAAGAGTTGTTCCAATCCAGGGTGGACTGCAGTTCCGACCTCGGATAGATCTTAATAACACCATAAACGGGATTCGCACCATGAAAGTGCAGCCTGTTATCTCTACACGTTAACCACTACGCCACACTGCCACGAGTGCCCTCAGGTCACAAGGCAGATGTGAATTTCAAGGAAAGCCAGGCATTTTCCCACATTTTCTTTGTCAGGATTGTCAATGAAGCAGATAAATATTTGCTAAGGAAATCAACTATATTACTTATTTTTACTCATAAGTAGGGTCTTGTTACTACATGAAAATCAGTAATATGCGATGTTCTCGAAATAAACGAAATAGAGTGAAAACATCTCATAGAACAAATTTAATTGATAATCTCGAAACCCTACGAATAAACAAAAAATAAGTAGCGTAGTCGAGTGTCATAGTAAATATAGCTTTACTCCATCGAAATTCCCATCAAAGCATGTGATATGGGAAAATGCCTGGCCTTCCTTCTTTTCTTTTGTTTAATTGGGTCCATATAAGGATATAGTCGGCTAATATTCTCGAGCCAATGTTAATGTGGGACTTTTAAACGAATAAGTTATAGCTCTGATGATGTCCCTCATATGATTGACGAAAGCTTAGCCTGTTTTCACCGGAAGAGAAGGAGGATGTTTCTTGGACTGCGTCAACCTGAACGTCATGTTAAAACCAAACAGCTACAGAACAGCGAAAATCGGTCGTCGTCTTTTGGTGAGATTGACCTTCGAATCAGTCCTTCGTCTACTTTCATACGAAATGAAAGTCTCTCCAACAATAGGTAAACAGCGGGGAACTGGAAAAGGGGAAAACGAACGCACTCCTCCAGCGAGATGCAACATCCCCAACCGAGTATAGTCTGCCCAAAATTCGTAAACAAACTACTCTTCTTAGAAGTATGGCATATAATAGAGGTAACGTGATGCATAAAACATCGTGATTTATATGTACACAGTTAAAGCAAATCTCTGAAACTTGGAAGTTTTCGGCAAGAAACTCTTACGACTTGATAAAGTTACATGAGGGTCAGATGATAGAAAGAGGAGATTTTATGGTAAGTTTCGATGTAGTGTCTATGTGAATTTGCATTCTTATAAACGAAGCAATCAAGGCCCTATAATTAACATTATGTCGCCATCCTAGAGTAATAAAAGGGAAAAAGTTAGGAAAACTTCAATCATTAGACTAGCCAATTTGGCCATGAGTAGTACCTATTTTATTTTCAGTGTTAAATTGTATAAACAAACAGGGCGCTTGGTATGAGATTTTGTTTAACCTCTACTATAACAAATAACGCCACGGCCGAATTAGAGGCTCGTATGCTTAAAGAAGCACTCCTAGTTCCCAAATTATTAGTCCGTTATATGGACGATTACTTTGCTGTTTGGCAGCGCGGCAAAGATAGTTTACATGAATTCCTTGAGCTAATGAATAAAATAGATGTCAATACTTAATTTACGATGGCGTTATAAAATGAAAAAATCGCCTTTTCTAGATGCATCAGTGAGCAAAGAAGGTAATAAGTTGGACAAAGACGTGTAAGGAGGCACACAAACGCGGATTTCCTTATTAGTTTTTTCTATAATCCTACAAATATAATATATGAAGACCAAGAAGTTGTGACCTCTGGTATTATCGCAGTC